TTATTCCTTCAAGGACATACCATTATCTAAACCCCTGTAATAAGCAGCATCTGCGAATGCAGAATGTTGACTGCAACATGAAGAAACTTTAACAAATTAAATTGATAGTTAGCAAGTTTAAAAGTTAAAAAGGTGAACAACCATGAGTCCCACTACTTATAACATGGGTACACATAAAGTGCTTTACAGTCTTCAACGCATGCTTTTATGAGCCATTCATGTTAAAAATCCTCTGTTTACAAATCATGGCTTGAAAAGACCTTTTCTTTCAAAAAATTATGGGAATAAACCGTCACTTGAGTACAGGATGACCATTATTAGGACTCAAATCGAGTCTTTACCCGTGGCAAACTCAAGCTCAAACTGTACCTTGCCTATGTCATATATATATGTATAATATTTAGTATCTATAGCATATATACACTTATATAAATCTGCATTGACATGTAATTATACTAAAATATATAGAAACAAGAAGCTGAGACCCATCAAGCTTGAGCTTAGCACAGCTGGTGAAGTTCAAGTAGCCCACTAGTTTAGCATAAAAAAGAACCAGTTCACAAGTGAATTGATTCATTTATACTGAACAGCCAGATACATTTCACTTGAGTACAGTATGTCCACATTTCACGCTCACTTGTAATATATGAAATGCAAGCCTGAGATGATATTTTTTAAATATAGGATTTTTTGTGGAATTCCTCTACTCTTATTGTGAAATTTAGTAGATGTTCCATAAGAAATGTCACAATATGCTCTTGAGTAGGTATTATATATGCATACATATAACTGTTCTCTACAAAGGCCTTTCTTTGATTCACGTTTCTTAGCAGTTATATTAGATTTGAATGGTTGAGATACGCATGAGCATTTTCTTAGTCTAAAAACTGAAACAAATAACGGAAACCTCTTCCGGACCTTGTGTTAAGTATGAATTGAAACCCCAATGAAGTAAAACACTTTTCAAAGAGACTATTCTCAGAAAACTTATTTTCATTAGAAAGAAACGAAAAGAAACACTCAATTTCCATTGCACCAAAACAAACTGAGCATATAGATATAAACCTACCCCCCACTACAAGAAAAATAATGGAAACAGTGATATCAAATTATAACCAATTAGTATATGATGAAGGAGAGGAGCAAAGTAAAGAAACCTTCTTTCCACGAATGACAGCTCCACCCTCGCCCTGAATAACCATGTACTTTGTGCCACCAAGATGTAATCCAGTTGGAGCAAGAGACCCTGGCTCATCGAAATCTTTCATTATCGCCGTAATTTCTTCAGGCTTGAACTGCACATAAACAAGCAAATCAATCTCACTCTCTTCCATCACTCACTAGAGACTAGACACTGCCGCAGCTTAAATGAAGAACGCAAAATGTGCTTATGATGCAAAAACCCACCTGAATTCTTTCTATCATACATTGTCAGCAAAACAGAAAACATTTTCTCGGCAACCAAACAAAGATCAAATACCAAAATTTCAACACGCAGAGCACAGATCATTTAGAAAATATCAATCACAAACCACATCAATCAATCACTTTGAAAAGATTAGGATTTCAGCAAAATATGAACTAAAGTGGTTAAATTAGTATTCATTAGTTTTACAAGTAACTGCATTTGCAATCCGTTAATTTTTTTTTTTTTTTTTCCCAGGAAACAAACAGAGCCTAAGTTGCACAGATCTAATAATGAAATGAAACAAAAATAATCGCAGAGGGAAAGTTGGAGAAGAAACCTTAGGGAAGGCGGAACTCTGGGCCCACACACTACCGTCGTGACCGACGATGGCCGCGGAGGCCAGATGGTGGCCGTCGATGTCGCACATCAAGTGATCGTCGACGTAAACCTGCCACGACATTTTGTGATTCAATCGTGACCGTCGAATTTCTCAATTAACTTTGATTTTCTATAATTTATTAATTTTCGTCTACGGTCGGAGCCCTCGCTGATATCTGGTTCAAAGGAGAAAGGTATTTATATACACACACGAACAGAGAGAGATGCCTGAAAACTCAAAAGAGAAAAGAAGGTGGGAATTTGGTGGGCCCAAATCGACCGTTGCGTAACATAACACGTTGGTGTTGCGTCGCTAATCTTATCTCAGCCGTTGGATTTGAACATGATTGATTGAGTGCTCCTCACGTAGGAGGACCACGGGTGATTGAGAACTTCTGCTTGTGTTCATGGTCACGTGGGACCCACGTGAGTTAAGTTTGGGTTTTCTTCTCTTTCGTAGGAAAACATACATGAATTGTGTTCCTAAATTGTTTACAAATTACATTGAATTGCATTCTAATCACACATAGTAAATTTCACATTAATTGACAGGATTTTCTCATAATTACTCGGCCAGTATTATTAGCATTGGAAAATGAATCTATTCACATTTTCCGTGTGTACATAAAAAGTATTATGAATTCACCACTCTTTTGCAGACACGTACATTCTACATATTGTTATCATATAAATTGAGAAAGAAAAATAGAAAATAAAAGTTGGTGAATTCATATAATGAACCAATTGCACCCAATTCCTCTCACACCATTATTATCTTTGATTTGCACACAATTCAAGATCCGACATGATAAAATTTCATCTCATTTTCAACCGTTAGATTGAATTCTCTTATCTCAATCTAAATCCGGCAAAATTTACAAATTTATAGCCCCACGTTGGAGATGCTCTTACATCGGATAAAATTTAACTTATTGTAGCTAGCTGTAATCAAAATTCACTTATGTGCTAGCTTGCTGTAAACAAAAAGCATTGCTACATTTTGGGTTTTTGATTTGCTCATTAGGAAACCTTAATGAAGACATTCAACTAATGTAATACATTGGATCAGGTAACTTGAAGGTCCGATTTCCGACATTTGTCCCTAAGATATCACTCCATTGATCACCAATACTCCCAATTGTTCTAAATCCACTCTTCACAAGCTTAGTTCTCTCTGCTGATTTGTACACATATGATGTGTTGCCAGAATAAGTCGATCCCCTGCAAGCCAAAAATGTCACTAAAATATAAACAGTAAATGATCTAACCCACAACTGTAAACGAAAAGTTATAATTTAAACCGTTAACTATAACCCAAGTGTAAGGGTTAATTTGGGAATATTGATTCTTACTTGAGCACAAGCTTCTCCCAAGTGTGATATCCGACGTTCTTGAGATTGGTGGTTGTGACATTTCTTTGATCTTCTCCTCTTCCTGTTATGAATACAACCTTCACTCCAAGTTTCAAAAGGTTTTTGTAGAGCTTGAGACTCTCAGGCAAAGCTGGGGCTGTGCCTTCTAAGACCCATGTATTGAATGCAGTGGAATTGTATAATTCCGTCCTAAAATTTCACATCTTTAAACTATAAGGGCTCAACCCTACCAAAGACAAGGACAAACCTTCATCATGCATGTGATTTTCCAATAATCCATAAATTATCAGGAAATATTTTATTTATAAAATTTCTCAATGGATTTTCTTTGCTTTTTTTATTTTTTATTTTTATTTATTTATAGAAACTTTCGATTTTGTTTTTGATTTAATCAAATATTCAAATTCAAGAGCGATAATTCAAAAGAATAATACTAGTCTTACCACATTTTTTATATCACAATTTTATACCACATGATGTGGCAAGCTAATGTATATATACCACATCATGTAAAATACTAGTTTCCCATTAATTTAATTGATATGACATATGATATGGACATGCCACATCATGTGGTATAAAAATATGGGATAATAATGTGGTAAGTGTAGCATTACTCAATTCGAAATAGAATAATGCTACTCTTACCATATTTATATACCACATCCCTATACCATCTTATGTGGCAGCTAAGGTGAACAGCCACGTCAATTAAAATTATTTAATATTTTCTTTTCTTTTATGATTTATTCTAGTATTTATTTTTCTAATTATCTTAATTAAAATACACTTCATTAATTTAATTGATGTGACATATAATATGGACATGTCACATCATGTGGTAAGTGTAGCATTACTCTTCGAAATAATATAAGGGAGTTTCACTAAAACACCCAAAATGGGGGTTGAAATTATAAAAAAACTCAAGCACTATTTAAACATATAAACACACCCAAAACCCATCATTACACACACTCAAAACCCATTTATAAACACACCCAAAAAGTTGACTTTGGGTGTGTTTCTATGTTTAAATAGTGCTTGGGTTTTTTTATAAATACATGTCTAGAATTGAGTTTATTTATAAACATGCAATCATCCCTTGCCGGCCTACCCCTACCTATAGTGCTTCAAGTCATTAATTCGTTGATTCATAATATATATATATATATATATTTTAATCAAACACGAATATACAAAACGTGTGAAGGGTTCTATTATAATATCATGATGGTGATATATGAATTTTTTTTATTTATTATTATTTTTTTTATTATGATTAGAACAATGAAATGTGTGTGACAAACTCTCTACCCCTTGAAGTTGGCCATTCCTTAGCTCATCTGTTTATTGGTGAGTGAACGAGGTTTGTTTTCAGGGGTGGAAACTAGAAAAAATCTTGTAAGGAGGACCATGGAAAAAATTGACTACAACTCAAGGGTGCCAATTAGGGATATTTTTATAAGTATATACACAACAATTGAAAAGAAAAACTCACTGAAAGAGGCCCAAAGAGCTCTTGCTTGGTTGTTGAGACAAAATTGAAGGAGAAAAAAGTTATGACGATTTTAAAACTCAACAGTCCAAGGGTTATGACGAAATTAAGAACATTGCAGTGGCTCCTCCCTGTAAGGAGCTATTTGTCCCTATATATATATATATATATATATCATATGGTCTCATACATATATATAGCTAATTAAAAGTATAAAAAGAAAATTTTCTTCACACGGGTTAAACTGTAATTTGTTTTTAGGGAACAATGACTCTTTCTAAAGATAATGATAACATGCGTCGGTGTGATGTTCACATTAAAAAATCTCTCACTTATAAAGAATGAGCCAAGTATTTTCCTTATATCATACTCGAGATAAAATGCACTCACAACATTGCCAATTTTTATTTGGTCAATAAAAAGCCTTAATCAAACATGATTCAAGTGTTTTGCAAAAGCAAAACAAAAATCAGAACACTGATATATCAACTAATGTAATACATTGGATCAGGCACCTTGAAGGTCCGATTGCCAACATTTGTCCCCAAGATATCGCTCCACTGATCACCTGCATTTCCAATTATTCTAAATCCACTCTTCACAAGCTTAGTTCTCTCTGCTGATTTATACACATACGATGTCTTCCCAGTATAAGCAGACCCCCTGCAAACCAAAAATAGTGTCACTAAAACAATTACAAAACCCTAAAGTGTAAGGGGTAATTTGGGAATATAGATTCTTACTTGAGTATAAGCTTCTCCCAAGTGTGATATCCGACATTTTTGAGATTGGTGGTTGTGACATTTCTTTGATCTTCTCCTCTTCCTGTTAAGAACACAACCTTGACTCCAAGTGTCAAAAGCTTTTGGTAGAGCTTGAGACTCTCAGGCAAAGCTGGGGCTATGCCTTTTAAGACCCATTCATTGAATGAAGTGGAATTGTATAACTCAGTCCTGAAATTTTCAAATAATAAGTGTAAGTGGTGTGGGTAGAGATTCGAAACCCCCTAGACACCCAATGAGTATTTGTGTAAACCCTCAATCGCTTGTACTAAAAAAAAGCATTATTATGAAGCTAATGATAAAAAAAAAACATGCATAGTGAGGGAGAGAAAGGTACTTAATGATTTCTTATACTAATACAATATTAATAAAATATATTATGTTCTGTCCAATGAGGCATTGCTTTGCAATAAAAATAATGAAGGCATTTCTTGTGAACCAAAAAATAGAAATAAAGTATTCTATATAATTTAGAGTGCCAGAGCTGGTGGTTTTGCTAATCTACACAATGCATTATTCATTAATCAACTGACTTAATTTAGAACTTACCCAAATCCATTAACAGCATAATAAGGTAGATTAGAGAGTGTAGTTTCATCAATATCAAACACCCACACATTCTTGCCATCCTTTGTAAGATTGAGACTCTTAGCATAGAGCCAAGCCCCATTAGTGACCACTTTTGAGTCTTTTCTGTACTGGTGGCCAAGCATGTAGTGCCCTACATATCCTTCACATTCTGCTGGAACAGTCTTCCAGTTAATAATGTTGTTAGTTTCCACCGCCAACCGCCAACTCAGGCAAGACAAGCCGGGGACGCTGCCTCTGGCTCCACCGGTTTTTGGCGTGAGGAGATGGATATGGTGGGTTAGAACTGGCTCATAACCTTGGGTGGTTAATACAATTGTCGCCAGGAAGAAGACTAGTGCTACTGGCAATATTTCCATGATGTATGACATTGTTTGAGAGGAAACTTTGTTGCTTTGAATTGACATTTTGTCTTCTTTAAATAGGCTCTACTAAAGCTAAATGACCCTAGGTTTGTAGGATAATTACTTGGGTGGCCCTAGTTGTATATATGGTGCAAAAAAAAAAATGCACAAATTGAACTGTAAAATCACTCTTTATGAGCTGGAATATATTCTTTTTACGATGTACCATTTGGGTTTTATCTTTAAAGTATGCTCATTTATTAAAGAAACACTAGCACTTTTTGCTATTCCCTGTCAATAACGCAATAACACATGAGATAACATTTTCACATATTATAACATTATTCATCGAAGATAACAAAACAGTATTATCTACGTTTTAAGCCAATTTTTTCTGCGTTGCTTAAGTTTAAAGTTTACCTAGCTAACTAGCTGGCTCTTTTTTTTTTTCTTTTCTATAATATCTTTTTGTTGGGGGGCGGGAGAGCTTCTCTGGATATATGTAAAGAAATGCTTCACATTATTCACATTAATGTTACAATATTCATGCTTTTTTGTTTTTCTTTTGACCAAGTCATGTAAGAACCACAGACACACACACACAAAGGTGACACCATCTGATCACACAGACGCAACAAAAGGCAAAACGTGCATATATTAATAAATAAATAGAATAATGCAATGATATGTCTGTAGACTATATGCACAACGTGCCACTGATAATAAAACTTAAATATTTGAAGATAATTCGAAGACAATTATTTGCACCAGTAGTGAATAATATATTGTTCTTGCTTAGTATATTCTATTTTTGGTAATAATTGGTATATGCTTTTACTACTAAATTAATGCAAAATGCCATCACTTTATTAGGTAGCATAAACTTGTCGAAAAGCATAAAAGTGTAAATAATTCTTTAATACATTTTTAAATTAACCACGAGGAACAAGAGTTTAAAGAGTAGTAAATTATTTAGAAAACAACCACGAATATGGAAGTTAAGATTGCACTAATTTGTCTCTTAAGTTGTCCCAATGTGTATCATCATCATCTTTCTCAACATTTGATACGTGTCTATTAACATAATCATAGTTAACTCTTTATTTCGTATTTATGAAATCATGATTATGTCAATATATACGTGTCAAATATTAAAAATAATGATAAAGGTACAATTTAGATTAAAATAATGAGCAAAAATACTTCCCAAATAAAAATCAGTATCTAGTGTGAGTTTTTTTAGTAGTGACAGCAAAAGAAAAGATGAATAAGGAAAGATACGCATACCACTCCACATATAGAGAAAGCATCCTCTTCTTATACGGATTAGGAAATTCTGTATGGGCAGCCTACACCTACCACCACCCACATGTAACATGAAGTTTGCTGAGCTTGTTCTCCTTTAGGACTCTTTCAGCCTCCAATATTAAACCCAAAAAAAAGAAAAGAAAAAAATTTGTTTTTTTAATCCATGCCATGCACGTGGTCTGATTCTAAATGCATTTTGAAATTACATGTAGGATGACTAAAAATGCCTAGAGATGGGTGAATAAGCTAATTTAAGATTATTATCAATAAATAAAAATAAACTTCCAAGCATGATTGATATGTCTTATCAATCCTGAAATGTGCAGAGCTTAAAGTAAAGGAACACGTAGATATTTATTTTACGTGGTAAAACCCTACCTTTGGGGAAAATTCATGGGACTCCTCAATCCAAAACAAATCCACTATAGAATGAAGATTACAAGAAGTACTCACACACTTATCCTAGACGCAATATAGATACTGTTTACCAACTTCTTCGTAACTCAACTTCTGTCACGAGATGATCTTCGATACTCCTTGTGTTGAACGCAATATTGATCACGATTGCTTCAAACTCGACTGAGGATAAACGCCACCACGGTCTTGGTCTCCTCAACCGTATGCGTCACACATGGGCGGAACCACACTAAGGGCTACAGTGGGCTATGGCCTAGTGTGGTCTTTTAAGAAAAAAAAAAATATAACCTATATATTTAACTTACCTTATTTCCATTTTCAACATTTAAGTAAATGTCTTTGTCATTTTACTTTTATTTATTTTTATTTTACTCCATTTACTTAAGTTTACAATGTAAATAAGGAAATACCCTCCATTTGGATTCAAATAAAAATACTAGAAAATCAAATTCCCACAAAATCAAAATATGAAAAATCAGTTTTAATGCAAAATACGATTTAGGCTAAAAATGATGGCTTATTAAGTCAATATATACTTCATACTAAAATCCCGTAAAAACAAGTCTTCTTATTTGATGTGTGAGGAATAAAAACAGCCAAAAATTATCTTGAGAAAATGATTATTCCGAAAACCGATTTTTCATACTTAGTCAATATTTTTACGTAAAACAACTTTTCATGTATGATATGAATGCATGAAGTAACCTAAGGTCAATCTAGGTAAAAAGCCTTAGATGTTCAATCCACTATGGTCTTAAACCCTATTTCGTTTATGTTAAAACTTATTGAAAATTAGTCTATAGAGCTATGAACTAGCTTGATTTATATGATTTCATATTTACTTTTATTTCTAGAAAGACTATAGAAATTGGAAGTACCAAAAAAAAAAAATCGTTAAATTTTAAGCTAATAACTTTAGTTAGCCCGTCTATTGAAAAATTCATGGTTCCGCCATTGGCATCACAGAACATGCATATGAATGCAATATAAATGATGAAAGTATTTTATAAATCACCAACTAAAAACAAGAGCACTTGATGACTTATTTCAAAGATATGCACAACAGCTTTTTCTTAAAAACTCTATATGCTCAACACAAATGTCAAAAGCTGTATTTGTCAAAAGAGAGGCACACTTCTTTTATTCAAAATTCACTTTCCCTAGTCAAACGGAAACACAAGAGTCCACAAACACTCTTCAATTATGACTATCAAATTTAATCCAATATGGACTCTAGTGAAAGACATCATAACAGGAGTTCAAGAGACCACAAATACTATTCAATTATGAATATCAGTTTTGATTCAATATGGACTCTAACTGATGACGCCAAACAACCACTCTTTTATGGTGAAACAATATCTCTTAAAATAAGTTAATTAGGAGATGAGCACTGGGCACGTCATTGTAGGAAACGCTAATATTTTAACTTAAATCAAAATGGCATTGAAAATAACTTCAACTAGGAATTCTATTGTGAATGCATGATTATGTCATGATTTACCTGAAATCAAGTTTCTCATATCGATCAAGATATGCTTCGAAAATCCAGGATTGAATGTGTTGCGCCAAAACTTCCAATAAAAAATATTCACACACTAATTCTCAACTTATATTAGAGTCTAGAAAATGTCAATATAATTTTCGTACCGACAGATTTGCAACATTCACGGGATATTTTTAGATTCACAAAAGATAGTTTCAATTGCTGTGCCATTTTTATTTTTGTAAGAGGTTGCCTGCCCCCCGAGAAACATGATGATCAACATATCAAAATGTATGAAGAAACGAGCAAAACAATTAACAAAAAAGTACTTGATTCGTACACTACACATGCAAGTTGTTGCTTTATTTCTTTGTTGGGGTCCTATCATGTCTATGGAAAACAACAAAACAAAAGCAAGGCCAAACAACTAGAAATGGTGATGAACAATGCCTTACTTAGAGCCTTAATATAAATAAAATCTTGGTGTTTAAAGTAAGGGAACTTTTGTTTTTGTGACAAACTATGATTTTCATGTTGAAGAAATATTATTGCCAGAGAGACATAAATGAAATTATCTAGCCATGTGTCTTAATTACTTGCCAATCCAAATTGATCGACCAAAATCTGTAAACCCACCGACAAGGAGAAGCCTGCTTCGATCTTTAAAGCCACGTTTTTCTCTTTCTATTTTTCGTACAATGGGATGATATTGACCTCATGTTTTGATCAGTCAATCCAAAATTGATCTAGATAAAAATATCTTTTTACTTTTAATGCCACGTCGTATCGGAAGGAAGCATGGCTACAGGCAAGGGCGGAACTAGGAATTTTTCAATGGGTGGGCTAGTTAAAGTTGTTATAGCTTAAAATCTAAGGACCAATTTTTGTTTGGGTACTTACTGTTTCTATAGTTTTTCTAGAAATATATTAAAGTACAGATTGGGATAAATAGTAAAAAGTTGAGAGTTAAAATCATGTGTTTATTAAGAGATTATTTTATTAATTGAGCAAACAAATTAAATATAACATGATTATATGCCCACAAAAATTGAGTGGACAATGGGTTACAAAACTACATTTGAGTGGGCTACTAAGTTTTTATGTGATGAATAACATTAAACTATATGTAATATATTTTAATTTTATAAAAAGTCAAACGGAAACACAAGAGTCCACAAACACTCTTCAATTATGACTATCAAATTTAATCCAATATGGACTCTAGTGAAAGACATCATAACAGGAGTTCAAGAGACCACAAATACTATTCAATTATGAATATCAGTTTTGATTCAATATGGACTCTAACTGATGACGCCAAACAACCACTCTTTTATGGTGAAACAATATCTCTTAAAATAAGTTAATTAGGAGATGAGCACTGGGCACGTCATTGTAGGAAACGCTAATATTTTAACTTAAATCAAAATGGCATTGAAAATAACTTCAACTAGGAATTCTATTGTGAATGCATGATTATGTCATGATTTACCTGAAATCAAGTTTCTCATATCGATCAAGATATGCTTCGAAAATCCAGGATTGAATGTGTTGCGCCAAAACTTCCAATAAAAAATATTCACACACTAATTCTCAACTTATATTAGAGTCTAGAAAATGTCAATATAATTTTCGTACCGACAGATTTGCAACATTCACGGGATATTTTTAGATTCACAAAAGATAGTTTCAATTGCTGTGCCATTTTTATTTTTGTAAGAGGTTGCCTGCCCCCCGAGAAACATGATGATCAACATATCAAAATGTATGAAGAAACGAGCAAAACAATTAACAAAAAAGTACTTGATTCGTACACTACACA